TAGAGTCCTTCAAAGTAATATACAAGATTCAACCAAACCTACCAAAGGGAGTGAAATCAAGACATTTGGGCATAGCTGAGGCGTTAGCTATCCAAAAACTCAAACCCACCCTTTGTATCCAAAAGAAATACATTCAACCCCTGTCCCTGCCATGGCCATCGTAAACAGGTAAATTTTTTAATAATGACCATCCCATCGCCTTTCTTATCTAAACTTCCTGTTTATTCATGTTATTTTAAGTTTTCTTAATCCCTGTCTACACTACCATATTTTCATATCCACACTTCCTGTTTATTTTGTCATTTTATTATCTCTACATATTTAATCCCTGATTGCATAAACAATTATTCACCACACGAGTTTCTTATCCAAACATCCTGCATATTTTGTTATTTTTACATTTCTAACCCCAATTGCACAATGTCAATTTTCTTAGTTATTATGCTACCTTGTTTTAGTTTTACCCATCCCCCTGTTTATTATGGCATTCTAATTCCTAATTGTAATTTTCATTAATTCAACCCCTAACCAGTAATTGTTCTGGAACTTTCCCATCCATTTGATATAAATACACGAATGTACAGCCTAGATGATGACTTCGTCGAAAAGAAAATTTTCTTCGCTGCAACTGTCTTTTTATTCCCTATGATCAAATGTTCATAATCATTTCATCAGTTATAATCACACGACTTCGAAACTTTCGTCTTATAGTTTTCTTTATTCTTTCCTATTTGTCGTCGTTGGGGTAGTAAAATTTTCCAGATGCCTGGGACAGGTGTTGAATCATTCCTATTACACGTATTTACAGTTGATTCGATAAAGAAAGCTTTCGTTATCAATCTCTTCCTCCACCTTATCTTATCCCATCCTATTGTATGGTTGTGTGTAATTGCATGTAGTGAGTGGTATAGCTGAATTATTCTCCAGATCTCTTGTCTTACTAGAGTCAACTGATCTAGATTTAGCTAGATTTTTGTACTCTGCTAGTCTAACTGCACCTGTTCTACTACTTTGACCTATGCTACGTATGCCTAGTCATCGTCTTCCTCGACAATGGGCAATGTAAGCTGATATAGGGTCAGGCTGGAAAAGAGCAAGCGGTGGTCAAACCAAAACATGGCACCAGTCAATGAAATCCACAACAGTTAGTCTAAGCCAGCCACGTAGGAAAGTGTAGACTTCCTGTTTGGGGTCCCCGGGACGGTAAAAACCAATGGTTGGAAACAATTGGTGACATGGCTCAAAATCGTTCTCAGTGATGGCGCAGATGCATCCACTCCTTGTGACTTATGATTTCCAATTAAACTGTTTTGTTCTTCGTTATTACTATTCCTTTGTCTCACACCTATGTTCACTGTCTCTATTATGCATTTCTCCTACTTTCTTCTCTTGCTTTGTGTGGTACATGGAGTGTGGCGACTTGAACTGCCGCACATATGTGCAAAGTTCTATGTCGAAAACCGACCGACCGACTTACCGACCGATCTGATAATCATTGCAGGTAGGGTATTAGATAAACTAAATTGTTTTGTTTAATTGG